CGCCTGTATTTCTTCGTCTGCTGCAGGAATAATAAATCCGGAATCCGCGAATGCCCCCGCCACGCCAAAATCTCCGTCAGCGGGCATGTAGAGGTTCTCGACAAACTCCATATCTGCAGGTTGCCCCGCGATGGGCATGCCCAGCCATTCTGCCAAATCGATGTCGTCGTGGCCAGCAAACGCCTCCTCGAACAGCTCGTCGGCGCAATTCTCGAGGGTCATACTGGCGCTGGGATATCTGACAGCCATGAAATTAACAATTGTGGTTGGGCTATCGGCGGGTTAGCTAAAAGGGACTCCCAGTCAACATACTGTATGTCGGAGCCTGTTTGAGCCAGATGTATTAACGGACACCTGCCTCTTCCATCACCCTGAAGGCACTCGCGTCGAAAATGTTGTGCACTGTGGCATATGTCGCACTCCATTGTTTTACAGTTGGCATCCTTTGGGTTTCCCCGTCGCCCTTTGCCTTTGCCTGATGCATGCCTGCGGTTTCTGCCAGCACCTAAAAATATGTCTTCTTACTGAGGTCCAGTGAGAGATGCTAAGAATGCTAATATGCCTCTACCATGCAGTCGCCGACGCTTACACATACCTTTACTTCGACCTTTGCCTGTCCCTTTGAGCGATCGTCGCACGATACGCCTTACCTTTCGGACAGGTTTCTTCACGAATCTCCGCCAGCGACGCTTGTGTTTTTGATTAACTATTGAGCTTGTTGCTCTTCAGTAAGGTATGTAGGCATAGCAGAGCAATCATCAAGGGCTGTAGCTTCGTCATCTGAAGACGCATCTGCATCAGTGCCGGAGTCGAAGTCGGACTCGGCGGGTTGCCCCGCTGAGCCCACTGGGGCCATGGCTTGCACGGGAGAGACCGCGTCGGGCGGCCCCCGAAGCCTGGCCCAGGAGTCTTGCGACCCCGAGGCCGTTCCACCATTCTGAGCCAAAAATGTAGTGGTCTCAGTTAGTCGTGGATCACCATTGCAGACGTTGTTCGCAGGCTGCCCTGCGTTAGCCTCCACGTGGAAGGTCACGGTTCGGTGACCGCTACTGAAGATACCACCAATGTTGCCGGGGGCTCTCTCAGCAATGTGAGCACATGACCTCGCACGTTCAGGTAGAGCGTCAAATTGTTGTTGGTCTCTCAGCACAGGGTGGTTTAGAGGCTACAGGAGTTGTTGTGCACGCGGTGCCCCCACCCCAGCAGCTCCGAATAGAATAACCGCTAAGATTTGGAAGTTGGCGAAGTTGAAGCCGGCTGTTTCAGCTCCGTAGCGGGCTATCTCGAACCGTGCTAACGTCTGGTCGATACGTTCTCCCGCATGAACTCGGAAATCAATGAGAGCCGTACCAGAGTTGAGTTGGCGCTCTTTTTCTAAGTTCTCGAACTTCGTGCTTCATAGGAACACGACGTAGGTGGCGCCGTCAGCGTGGCGGCCACCTATGTTGACGCCAAAATGAACAATTGCTGGAGGGACTCTCATGGCTGTGGTCTGTGCGAGACCTCCCAGACCTCGCTGCAGAGACGCAGCCTGCTGGGAGGGCGTCATATTGCCTGTGGTCACATTGATCCAGACATGTACTTCGCGGACGAATTCGCGAAATGTTACTTGTCCGGCTGGACCCCAATGAGGGCCGGTAGTTCTCGCGTCGTCTCCGCCACGCACACGTCCTACCGCGCGCCCGATAGCGACCCATGCGAGCCCAAAGATAGCAACACCAACCCAATGGCCTCGTAGGTCGTAGTCGGATGTAGTCGGTTGGGATTTCCGTTGAGTAGTCGTAAGTCTGCGCGGGGTCGGAGGCGGCAGTATTTCGCATCGCATGTTTCCATGCATTGCATCTTCGAAGAAATTTCCAATTGGACTAGGTGGGTGGACTTCAAGAATGTAGAAGCGCAGGGAGGTAGGATGTAAGGAAGACGCCTCCGCTTGAACAGGGGCATCGCTGCAAGTGCCCTTGCGGCACTGCGCAGCTATGTACATTCCTCCGCGCAAACCCACTGCACCCTGATGTCCCGCCATGTCCGTAGTCCACCAGACAGCGCCGTGGACGGCGAGGAGTAGAGCAAGAGCTGACCACCATAGGCCAGCTCCGCTACCTGAAGGGGGCTGGGAGGCCCAGCCAGCAGCTTCGCCTTAGGCGAAGCCAAGCTCCAGCTCGGTTGCACCGCAGTAACGATAGTCCCAGCAGGAGAGGATGTGCCATCTCAAGTTGCACTAGGAAGATCCTTTTGGCCTCGATAGCGACTGCGTGCCTCGCAGCGAGGCACAATCATATTTGGGCGGCCGGCCGCTTGAGCCGACGCGGCCGCAGGCGCACGCTCGCCCCCGCCCCTTTCCGCCCCTCAGCTCGCTTTAGAATGAGATGGCCTCCAGATGCCCCAAGAGGCCCCCAAGAGGCCCCCAGGAGGCCTCCAAGACGGCCCCAGAGGCCTCCAAGAGGTCCTCCAGGAGGGCCCGAAAAGGCCAAAATCCATGTTTTTCCTTAGGTGTTTGAAGGAATTTGGCATTTGCGCCTCTTCGGTCTTCCGACTGTCCAAGACGGCCCAGGAGGCCCCCAAGATCGCCCCAAGATCGCCCACACGGCCTCCAAGATGGCCACATAACCCCCCAAGACGCTCCCAAGATGCTCCCAAGAGAGCCCCAAGACCGCCCGAGAGGCCTCCAAGACGCCCAAGATGACCTCCAAGACGGCAAAGATGGCCCCAAGATGCCTCCAAGGCGGCCCAAGATGCACCCAAGACGGCCTGAGATGGCCCCCAGATGGCCCGCGACGGCCCAGGAGGCCCCCAAGAGGCCTCCAAGACGGCCCAAGAGGCCTCCAAAAGGTCCTCCAGGAGGGCCCGAAGAAGCCAAAATCCGTGTTTTCCCTTGGGCGTTTGAAGGATTTTGGCATTTCCATTTTTTCTGTTTTCCGACGGTCAGAAACGGCCCAGGAGGCCCCCAAGGTCGCCCACGAGGCCTCCAAGATGGCCCCACGACAGCCCCCGAGGCCCCCAAGACGGCCCCACGAGGGCCCAAGAGGCTTCCAAGACGGCCAAAATGGCCTCCAAGACGGCTAAGATGGCCCCAAGATGGGAGGTTCTTCAGGAGGGCACGAAGAGGCCGAAATCATTTATTGTCCTTAGGTTGTTGAAGGATGTTGGTATTTGCGCCTCTTCTGCTTTCCGACGGCTCAAGACGGCGCAAGAAGCGGCCATGATCGCCCAGGAGGCCTCCAAGATGGCCCCATGACGGCCCAAAAAGCTCCCAAGACGACCCCAAGAAGGCCCCAAAACGGCCCAGGAGGCCCCCGAACTGCCCAAGATGGCCTCTAAGAACCCCTGATAGGCCCCAAGAGGGCGCCAAGACAACCCAGACAGGCCCCCAAAACGGCTTCCGACGGCGTCAGACAAGCCAGGAACGCCCTCAGACGGCCACAGAGGCCCCCAAGAAGCCCCAAAAGGCCCCCGAGAACACTCCAAAAGGCCCCCAGAAAGCTCCCAGGAAGCCCCAAGAGTGCCCCGGGAGGCGCCCAAGAGGCCTCCTGCTCCTCCTTCTCATCCTCCTCCTCTTCGTTCCTCATCCCCCCCCGTCCTGTTCTTGCCCCCCCATGCGTTCCCCGAAGTCTTTCCAAACCGACTAGGGGAACAACTGGCCCGATAGCTTGGCCAAGCTCCGGCCCAGCTGTCGGCCACATAAGCGCTTCCAAAGAGGCACGGGGCGGCGGTGACTCGCCGCGGGCGTCTCAGATCCGCCGCCCCCTGTCGATACATCGCAAGGGTGCCTGGCGCGCTAGACCTTCTCGGTATTGGTGATGGTTCCTTTTCCAAGAGAACTCCCCCTGGGGCTCCGGCCCGTCCCGCCAGGGCCCTGGGAAGGATCTCGAAACCTGGTTGCAAAGGCTTCCCCTGCTCCAGACGGATCCCAGACGGCCCAAGAATGTCTCCAAGATGCATCCAAGATGGCCAAGGTGGCCTCCAAGACGGCGAAGATTGCCCCAAGATGCCTCTCAGACGAATCCAGAAACCCGAAGCGCCCCAAGAGGACCCCAAGTCGGCCCAGAGACACCCCCAAGACGGCCCCCGACAGCGTCAGACGTGCCAGGAACCCACCAAGATGGCCGAAGTTGGCTCGAAGCTGGCCCAAGACGAACCAAGAGGCCTCCAAGAGGCCTCCAAAAACACACTTGTTGGGCCTTTTCGACAATTGCTTCTTTTCCACCTTCCGACGGCCCGAGACGGCCCAAGAGCCCCCAAAGATCGCAGAAAAATCACCCAAGAGGCCTCCAAGATGGCCCCAGAACGGCCCAAGAGGCCCCGAGACGCCCAAGGTGGCCTCCAAGACGGCCCTGGAGCATTCCAAGAGAGCTCCAAGTCGGCCCAGGGAGGCCCCCCAAACGGCCCCCGACGGCGTCAGACGGGCCAGGAGCCCACCAAGACGGCCGAAGATGGCCTTAAGATGGCCCAAGAGGCCTCCAGGAGGGCCTCCAGGAAGGCCCGACAAGGCCAAAATCATCGTCAGTCTTTTTCGCCAGGACTTTGCTGAAGCCGATGCACGACGCGACACTTGTCTCGCCGAGCAGGCGCGCAGCCAAGCTCGACCCCTGCACTTCACCTCAGACGTTTGTAGGGCGGTGCGGGTGGGACCAGAAAAAGGGCTACAGAGATGGGAAGTGCACGGCGAACCAGAAACGAATGACGTAGGAAACGAAGTATCGTCAGTCTTTTCCGCGAGGACTCTGCTGAAGCCGATGCAAGACGCGACACTTCTCTCGCCGAGCAGGCGCGCGGCCAAGCTCGACCCGCACACAGTAGAAATAACCGAGGTGCAGACTATCCTTCCCGCGTTCAGCACTGAGCTGGCGCACTATGGCGCCGTCACTTCATTCTTGACCAGAGATTGCTGGCCAAATCCTTCTTCCTAGAGTTGCAAAACATACCGGTCAGGATACGACACAACTGCGGTGGGCACTCATTTTTCTGAGCTGTTCTGAAGGAGGGGTCGCCCCGGGCTTTGCTCATGAGCTCGGCGCGAGGCTGGCCGGAAAAAACTGCAAGTACCACGACCCGAGCACTTGGCCTCGACAAGCGCGCGAGGGGCAGGGGGGTGCCAGAGTCGCAGCCGGGCGCGAGCTCGGAAGTCCCCACCGAAGGCGCAGCAGTCGACCACCACGTCGAACACGTTGGGCTGGAGGAGGAAGCGCCCCCTCGAGCGCAACGCCCAGAGGTAGGACTGGGCAGGCCCCCCTCGCCGCCGGGGATCTTGCGCCCCAGCGTCAGGCGGGCCAGCTGCCCAGCGCGGTCGGCCAGAGCGTTGCCCTCGGCGAGCTTGGCGGCGCCCCGCGGCGGGAGCCCCGCGAGGCCGCGGGGCTGCTGCGGCGACCGCAAGGCCGCCGGCATCCGCAAGCCCGCCGGCGCCCGCCCGGCGCGGGAGAAGCCGCTGCAGGGGGTCCCCAGCCAGAGCCCCACGCGAGGCTGGAGAGGATCCAGCCCTCGACGACGTTGAAGACCTCCTGCACCCTGAGGTCGCGACGCGGCCCGCGCCGCACATCGATGCTCCTGACTGCGGCGCCACGCCTGCGGAGGGCCTGGCTGAGGTGCCCCGCGTCGGCGAACACCTCCAGGAAGACCTTGCCCTCTCGAGGGCGGGCCTTTCTCAAGGCCGCCCGAAGCTCGCTCCGCAGGCGCTTGGCAAGCGCGCCTCGCGGGGCTGGAAGTCGAGCAGCACGCGCGGGTCGAGCCTCTCGAGCTGTCCGCTGATCCTGGCATGCTTCTCGTAGCGCTGGACGCTGAGAGGCGACCTCCACTTGCCCCGCAGCTGGATGTCTCCCAGAGACCTCCCTCCGTCCGAGCGCCCTGTCGCGACTGGCTCCAGCGTGACGAAGACCTTGGCGCGTTGGACGCAGTACCTCGCAGCCCACGGCCACCGCGGCCCTCTTCATCTCCGCCGATAGTTCGCCGTACGAGATCGGGAACAGGCGCTGCAGCGGGGATCGACGATCCTTCAGCTCGAGGAGAGCGCGGCCGACACACTGGTGCTCGGGAAGGTCCAGGGCCACGGAGGAGTCCACGAGGCCTGTCTTGGAGGGCGCCCCGAAGTCCTCTGGGTGGAGGAGGGTGGTGACCTGGCTCAGGACGCCGGGTATCCTGGCGATCGGCCTGATGACCTGCTTCCCGAGCAGCGCGAGCCCCTCCCCCGGCTGGCAGTAGGCGACGAACAGCAGGACGGTGAGGAGGCCCATCAGCGGCTTGCTGGAGGAGGCGAAGAGCCACTCGGCGATCCCTGCTGCCACCGGCCACGGGATCGGTGGCCGCGACTGGGGCGGCCGCAAGCGGGCCCACCCGGCGGCTGCCTGGTGGGTCAGCGGGAACGCGGACCGCATGGTCAGCCCGAGGGGCGGCAGTGCCCACAGCTGCGCGGACACGATGAGCTCCCCAACGTGGGGACCGCCGCCGCGGTTGAAGAGCACCGACAGGAAGTCGCTCAGGTGCTCGCCCCACGCGATGGCCGTCCACTCGGGCAGCGGCATGACTGCAAGCCAGCCGGCGAGCTCCATCAGCGCCTGCGTGGGCTGCTCCTGCGCGGGGAGCCGCACGCTGTTCTGCGCCTGCCTGGACAGCCGCGGCGCCAGCCGCTCGATGTCCACCTCGGCGGCCAGCCCGGGCGAGGGCGCGGGCGGCGAGCGCGGAGGGCGCTGCGCCCCAAGGCCGCGCGTCGGCCGCCCGGGCCGCGGTGACAGGCGAGAGCGGGCGCCCAGCCCATCGCCCTCTGCGCGGTCCAGCCCGGCGGCCCCCTCGGAGTTGAGGGCCCTCTGAAGCCGCGCCTCTGGCGAGCGACTCCGCTGCCTGTGGGCCGCACGCGGCGGGGCCTCTGCTGGGGCCCAGCCCGCCAGCGCGGCGGCGAAGCGGCGGGCCTCCACGGCCGCCCGCGGGCGCGGGCCGCGCGCCCGGCATCCGAAGCCCTCGCCTCGAAGCCGAGTCGCTGGGGTTCAGCTCCGAGGGGCGCCAGCGGAAGGAGGGGCGGACGCCGGCAGCAATGCGAGCGGCGGCCCACCCCCGGCAGGCAGCGATAAGCGAGAATACGGCAGCCCCCCCCTTGCAAGCGGCACACGTGACAGACATGTTGCCCCCGACGCAGAGAGAGCGACTCCGATGGCGATTGAGCGAGCGGACCGCGCGGCAGGCGCACCAGGTTAGGGCCGCCGCCTCCAGGTTGTGAATTGAGTCTGGCCGACGGAAGGCGCGGGAGGCCACTGCGGCCCACCCTTCGCCTAGCAGCAGCTCGCGAGGCACCTCCCGGAAGCGGGCATGCCCCCCGAGGAGAAGGGCCGCAGCGTCGGGCAGCCTCAGCAGAAGCTCCTCCTCATCATCCAGCGCGTGCTCACGGCGGCTGCCCCCGGCGGCTGCGAGCAGGCCGCGGAGCCGAGCGCGCTCGCGCAGCCGCCCCACGCGGCCCACGTCAGCTCTGCCCCACAGGCTCTCGGCGGCGCCAAGCCCCCATTCGGAGGCATCGTAGGAGGTGACCACGGGCAGCCAGTGCAGGTCGGAGCGGGTCACGATGGCGGGCAGCAGGGCATGCGCCCAGCGGAGCTCACGGCGCACGCCGGGCCAGAGGGGCGCCCTGCGGCGCCTCAGTTTCCGGCTGAACTGGTAGACAGCGGAGAAGGCGGAGAGCAGGTCGCGGCGCAGCATCACCATGGAGACCAGGTGCCCGATGAGGCGCTCCAGCTCCAGGCCCGAGGGGGTAGCCCCTGCTCGAAAGACGCACTCGAGGGCCTTCCCTTCGCCACTCGCCAAAACTTCTCGGGCGTGGGCCGCCAGGGCCGCTGGTGCGCCACGCACTCGAAGCCCAGCAACTCCAGCGATCCCGAACCCGGGTCGGGCATGCCCAGGTGAGCCTTCACGCCCACGCCGTCGAGCGTCGTCAGCACGTGGGCGACCCCGTTCACAGTCTCGCACTCGTCGTCGGAGACCACGGCCAGGTTGTCGACGTAGCAGAGCTTGGGAGGGCCCTCGCACGCGGGCGCCACTGACACCTCGCCCCTCAGCCAGGGGGCCGAAGGTACGCACGAGGCAAGCAGGTGCTCATGAGCCCACTGAAAAAAGTGCACCGCCCGCGCCCAGCCCATCGGCACGACGCGCGCCTGGAAGGCGCACTCGACGTCGCCCTCCGCGAGCTCCAGCCTCTTGCGCCACCTGGCAGGCAGGTAGCGCGCCAAAATCGGCGGGGGCGCGAACAGCGGCCGCAGGCTGCTGGGCAGCTCGCACTGGTAGAAGCAGACCTCGATCTCGGCCGAGGCCACCCAGAGTCGCGATCCAGGCTCGCTCTCGAGGTCCGCCAGCGACTCACCGCTGGCTGCCGGCTAGCGAAGTGCACGGAGGAGGAGCAAAGTGGCAGTTGCTCCGTCTAGTGTCGAAGATCAGCCTCAGCAAGCCATCCTTGCGCTTGACGAAGAAGGCCCCCGCGGTCTCCCTGACGACGGCGGCCTTCTCCAGGATGCCCTTGCCCGGGAGCTCCGCCAGGAAGCGCCCGTACATGAAGCCCCTCAGCCTCAGCACGGGGCCCAAGGCCGCGGCGGGCCCGAGCTCGTGCAGCGCCGCCTGCGCCTCCGCGGGATCGCGGAGAGGACCGCTGCCCTCTGCCAGCATGCACTGTAAGTGGTCCGGGGCCACGTCGCACAGCGGCACAGCCCCAGCACGTGACTGCGCCAGGGAGATCCTGCCAGGCTGGCAGGTTAGCCACACCCGAGTCGATGCAGCCGCCACCGCTACCCTGGAGCACCTTCCATGCTCCCAGGGGGTCAACGTCAGCCGGTGGAGGACCGCGCCCACCGTGGAGCTTGGCCAGAGAGCGCACCGCCGAAGCCTGGGCGGCGGTCACCTGGGCATCGCTGGACGCCCCGCCGCCACCTCTCAGCTCGCTCAGCGCGCCAAGGCCTGCACGGAACCACACCTCCTCGCCCTGGCGCCGCCTGGCTTTCCGCTTGCCCGCTTCGGAGAGCCCGCCGCCCGTCGCGCCGAGGAGCAGCTCGTCGAGGGCCCGCCCGCCCGGGAAAGGCAGCAGATCGCGAGGGCGGTCGTCAAGTGGCTGAGGACCAAACGCCATGCCCGAGCCAACCACCTCTAGCTGCGGGCGCGAAAGCGCCAGCGTCGCCACCCGGAGAGGCGCGCCAGCAAGGTGAACTTCAGGAGCGGCCTCACCGGCCGCGGCCGCGCGCCTTCGCGCGCGCGCCGCTGCCGCGGGCCTCGCCCGGCTGCTGCCGGGCTTGACTGCCTGCCGCGGCCCCCTGCGCGAGCCGCTTCTCCCCCCCCCCTGCGCTTCTCCTCGAGGATGGCGCTCTCCTGGGCGAGCTTGCCCGCAACGTGCTCCTCGAGCGCCGGGCAGACCAGCGCCGCCCCCTTGTCTCCGAGAGCTTCCCAGGAAGATGCGGCGCTCGTCGAGCCAGGAGCCGTCGCCCTCCTCGCCCGCTTCGGCCGCCCGGAGCGCGGGTGCGCATAGCTCCTCCCAGAGCTGGTAGCGCCTCGACAGGACCTCGAACGTCTCCAGTTCGGAGCAGTCGAGCAGGTCGAAGACGCAGGCCCTCTCCAGCACCTTTGAGATGTAGGCGTGCTCCTCCACACCGACGTCGCTCGGCGAGACCTGCAGCAGGTTGCGCCACCAGAAGTGGCGCCGCGTGGGCGCCCAGCCCGCGTCGCGGATCGCCTGAAGGAACCACTTGCAAGTGCGGGGCCCGGCCACAGACCAGCCAGCCTGCGCCGTCTCCGAGAGGCAGACCACCGCGTCGCCATACTCCCTGAAGCGGCGGTTGCTCCTGTCGAAGCGCACGGGGAGGGTGCGCAAGTCCCCCTCGCCAGCACCTGGAGAGAGTGACCCAGCCACGGCCACGCAGAGGGGCCCAGCACTGGGCACCGTGAACACGCCGCGGTCGCCGGAGGCGAGCAGCTGGCCTGGGGAGATGTCGACCGCGTCGCCGAGGGTGAAGCCGTGGCGGGACTCGGCGGCCACCAAGGCCACGCCGGCGGCGGCCCCTGGGAGGGCCGCTGCGGGCACGCCCGCCTCGCCGGGGGCAGGAGCAGCACCAGGGCCAGCACCGCCGCGAGGAGGAAGCGCGTGTTGCGCCACGAGGACCTGGCGCGACTCGGCATCGATGTCGAGGTCGCCCTCGTTGTCCCGGACGTAGTCCTCGCCGCCCTCCAGCAGCTCTCGCTTCTCCTGGGCCGTGAGGTTGACGAACCTGAACACCTCCACGTTCGCTATGCCGGCGCCGAGGCCCCCAAGCGGCCCAAGTCGCTGCACCCCATCGCTCTCCATGAAGTCCTCATCGTAGATGTCGCCGCTAGGCGTCGCCACCACCCACCGTGATGGCGCCAAGCGGGCGACCAGCAGCCGTTCGTGCCATAGTGGGTACCCCTCGTACCGCACCAGGACTCGAGACCCCCGCTGGAGCTGTGAGAACCGCTACGGCCGCGCCTCGCCTTGGCGCCACCCATCCTGCATGCCGTGAGCCGATCACCAGGCACGCGCCGGAGAGCACGCCCGTGAACAAGAGGCCGACCCCGACGAGCGCCAGGGTGGCCACTGGCGGTGGCGGCAGAGCAGGGCAGACCTGGCCGAGGAGGTGTTCGGGGCCGCAGCGATCCAGCTGCCGCTGCAGCAGCTGGAGGAGGCCCTGGTCTGGGGCCGCGGACCACTCGCAGTGGCAGTCGCAGCGCCCGCCCGCGGCCAGTCCGCCACTGGTGCCCGCGACGACCGAGCTGGTGACGGAAGAGGCGCTCTGAAGCACGCTGGTCAGCCAGGCCATCCACTCTGGGCCCAGCCTGAACCAGAAAAAGGGCTGCAGAGATGGGAAGTGCACGGCGAACCAGAGACGAATAACGTAGGAAACCAAGTATTGATGTCCGATGAGTTTTTGAAGGATTGTGGCATTTACATTTCTTCGGCTTTCCGACGGCCCGAGACGGCCCAAGTGTCCCAAAAAATCCAAAACGCTCAAGATGGCCTCCAAGACGGCCCAAGAGCCCTCCGAGACGTCCTCCAAGAAGGCCCGAAAGGGTCAAAAAGACCTCGAGACGGCCAAGATGACCTTCAAGATGCCCATGTGCTCCCCGAAGGCTTTCCAAACCGACTTGGGGAACACATGATCCGATAGCTTGGCAGGTCTGGTCTCAACGTTCGGCCACATAGGCGCTTCCAAAAAGGCAGGGGGCGGCGGTGATTCGCCGTAGGCGTCTTCGATCCGCCGCCCCCTGTCGATTCATCGCAGGGGTGCCTGGCGTGCCGAATGATATGGTTTTTGGTTCTTTTTCCAAAAGAACTCCCCCTGGGGCTTCGGCCCGTCCCGCCGGCCACCCGGAAAACAAAACCCACTTGTCGTCGCCTTTGTTGCCCCAAGATGGCCTCCAAGACGGCCAAGATGTCCCAGGATGGCCTCCAAGTTGCCCAAGACGGCCAAGATGGCCTCAAAGACGGCTAAGATGGCTCCAAGATGCACCCAAGACGGCCCAAGATGGCCTCAAGATGCATCCAAGACGGTCCAAAAGGCCCCCCAGAGGCCTCCAAGACAGCCCAAGAGGTCTCCAAGAGGTCTTCCAGGAAGGCCCGACAAGGCCAAAATCATTGATTTCCCCTTAGTTTTTGAAGGATTCTGGCATTTGCGCCTCTTCGGCTTTCCGACGGCCCGAGACGGCCCAAGAGGCCCCCAAGATCGCCCAAGAGGCCCCCAAGAGGGCCCCATGACGGCCCAAGTGGCCTCCAAGATGGCCCCAAGAGGGCCCCAAGACGGCCCAAGAGTCCTCCAACACGCCCAAGATGGTCTCCAAGACGGCCCAAGAGCCCTCCGAGACGTCCTCCAAGAAGGCCCGAAAGGGTCAAAATGGCCTCCAGACGGCTTTCCAAACCGATTCGGGAACACATGGTCCGATAGCTTGGCAGGTCTGGCCTCAACGTTCGGCCACACAGGCGCTTCCAAAAAGGAGGCGTCTTCGATCCACCGCCCCCTTTTGATTTATCAAAGGGGTGCCTGGCGTGCCGAATGATATAGCTTTTGGTTCTTGTTCAAGAACTTCCACTGGGGCTTCGGCCCGTCCCGCCGGGGTCCCAGGAGATTGCAGAAAATTGCTCCGTCATCGCCTTTGTTGCCCCAAGTTGGCCCAAGATGGCCTCCAAGACGGCCAAGATGGCCCAGGCCTCCAAGATGCTCCCAAGACAGCCAAGATGGCCTCCACGACGGCTAAGATGGCCCCAAGATGCATCCAAGACGGCCCAAGATGGCCTCAATATGGTCTAAGACGGCCCAAAAGGCCCGCAGGAGGCCTCCAAGACGGCCCAAGAGGCCTCCAAGAGGTCCTCCAGGAAGGCCCGACGAGGCCAAAATCATTGATTTTCCCTTAGTTTTTGGAAGGATTTTGGCATTTGCGCCTTTTCGGCTTTCCGACGGCCCAAGACGGCCCAAGAGGCCCCCAAGATCACCCCAAGATCGCCCAAGAGGCCTCCAAGATGGCCCCATGACGGCCCAAGACGCCCCCAAGACCGCCCCACGAGGGCCCGAAGACGGCCCAAAAGGCCTCCAAGGCGCCCAAGATTGCCTCCAAGACGCCCAAGATGGCCTCCAAGACGGCCCCGAAGCGCCCCAAGAGGGCCCCAAGTCGGCCCAGAAAGGCCCCCAAGACGGCTCCCGACGGCGTCAGACGTGCCAGGAACCCACCAAGATGGCCGAAGTTGGCTCGAAGCTGGCCCAAGACGGCCCAAGAGGCCCCCAAGAGGGCCTCCAGGAAGGCCAGAAGGCCAAAATCATTGATTTTCCTATGGTTGTTGACGGATTGTGACACTTGCTTCTTTTCGGCCTTCCGAGGGCCCGAGACGGCCCAAGAGCCCCCAAAGATCGCCGAAAGATCGCCCAAGAGCTCCAAGATGGCCCCATGACGGCCCAAGAGGGCCGCGAGACGGCCCCACGAAGCCCCCAAGACGGCACAGGAGGACACCAAGACGCCCAAGATGGCCTCCAAGACGGCCCTGGAGCATTCCAAGAGGGCCCCAAGTCGGCCCATTGAGGCCCCCCAAACGGCTTCCGACGGCGTCAGACGGACCAGGCGCCCACCAAGACGACCGAACATGGCCCTAAGATGGCCCAAGACGGCCCAAGAGGCCTCCAAGAGGGCCTCCAGGAAGGCCCGAAAATACCAAAATCATTGATTTCCCACGGGTTTTTGAAGGATTGTGGCATTTGTTTTTTTCGGCTTACCGACGGCTCGAGACGGCCCAAGTGCCCTCAAAGATCGCCCAAGAGGCCCAAGACATGGCCCCAAGAGGCCCTCAAGACGGCCCAAGAGGTCTCCAAGACGCTCAGGATGACCTCCAAGCCCTCCAAGACGTCCTCCAAGAAGGCCCGAAAGGGTCAAAATGGCCTCCAGACGGCTTTCCAAACCGATTCGGGGAACACATGGTCCGATAGCTTGGCAGGTCTGGCCTCAACGTTCGGCCACACAGGCGCTTCCAAAAAGGCAGGGGGCGGCGGTGATTCGCCGTAGGCGTCTTCGATCCGCCGCCCCCTTTTGATGTATCAAAGGGGTACCCTGCGTGCCAAACTATATGGCTCTTGGTTGTGGTTCTTTTTCCAAAAGAACTCCCCCTGGGGCTTCGGCCCGTCCCGCCGGCCACCCGGAAAGGATCTCAAAACGCGTCCGTCGTGCCTCTGTTTCCTCCAGTTGGCCCCAGATGGCGTCCAAGACGGCCAAGATGGCCCAGGATGGTCTCCAAGACGTCTCCAAGACGGCCCAAGATGGCCTCCAAGACAATTAAGATGGCCCCAAGATGCCTCCAAGACGGCCCAAGATGTACCCAAGACGGCCTCAGATAGCCTCAGGATGGCCTCAACATGGCCCAAGTCGGCCCAAGAGGCCTTCAATACGGCCCAAAAGGCATCCAAGAGGTCCTCCAGGAAGGCCCGAAGAGGCCAAAATCCGTGATTTTCCTTAGGTGTTTGAAGGACGTGGGGATTTGCTTCTGCTCGGCATTCCGACGGCTCAAAACGGCCCAAAAGGCCCCCAAGATCGGCCCAAGATCGCCCACGAGGTCTCCAAGATGGCCCCATGACGGCCCAAGAGGCCCCCAAGACGGCCCCAAGAGGGCCCCAAGACGGCCCAAGATGCCTCCAAGACGCTCAAGACGGCCTCCAAGACGGCCAAGATGGCCTCCAAGATGCCTCCAAGACGGCCCAGCTGGCCTCCAAGACGGCGAAGATGGCCCCTAGATGCGCCCAAGACGGCCCCAGATGGCCTCAAGAGGGCCTAAAACTGCCCAAATGGACCGCAAGAGGCGTCCAAGACGGCCCAGGGGCCCTCCACGATGGCCGAAGTTAGCTCGAAGCTGGCCCAAGACGGCCCAAGAGGCCTCCAAGAGGGCCTCCAAGAGGGCCTCCAAGAAGGCCCGAAAAGGCCAAAATCATTAATTGTCCTTCGGTTTTCGAAGGATTTTGACACTTGCATCGTTTCGGCCTACCGACGGCCCGATACGGCCCAAGAGCCCCCAAAGAGGCCTCCAAGATGGCCCCAGAACGGCCCAAGACGCCCCCCAGACGGCCCCAAGATGGCCCCCAAGACGGCCCAGGAGGAAAATAAGACGCCCAAGATGGCATCCAAGAAGGCCCTGGAGCATTCCAACAGGGCCCCAAGTCGGCTCAGAGAGGCCCCCCAAACGGCTTCCGACGGCGTCAGACGGACCAGGAGCCCACCAAGACGGCCGAACATTGCCCTAAGATGGCCCAAGACGGCCCAAGAGGCCTCCAAGAGGGCCTCCAGGAAGGCCCGAAAAGGCCAAAATCATTAGTTTCCCATGAGCTGTTTGAAGGATTGTGGCATAAGTTCCCAACCCTCTTATGGTTGGGTACTCGTTGGGTGTGGTCGCCCCGGCATCCTTCTTCTCCTCCCCTCCTCCTCTCCTCTGCTCTCGTGCCCTGGGCGCCTGCGATCTGCGCAGCTGTCGCCACGTTCGTGGGCTCCTGGGAGGCCCAGCGGAGGTGGGTCCCACGCGGATCACCTCGGGACCTCGCGGTGCCCTGGGGGCTTGCGATCTGCGCAGCTGTCGCCACTTTCGTGGGCTCCTGGGAGGCCCAGCGGAGGTGGGTCCCACGCGGATCACCTCGGGACCTCGCGGTGCCCTGGGCGCCTGCGATCTGCGCAGCTGTCGCCACTTTCGTGGGCTCCTGGGAGGCCCAGCGGAGGTGGGTCCCACGCGGATCACCTCGGGACCTCGCGGTGCCCTGGGCGCTTGCGATCTGCGCAGCTGTCGCCACTTTCGTGGGCTCCTGGGAGGCCCAGCGGAGGTGGGTCCCACGCGGATCACCTCGGGACCTCGCCGGTGCCCTGGGGGCTTGCGATCTGCGCAACTGTCGCCACTTTCGTGGGCTCCTGGGAGGCCCAGCGGAGGTGGGTCCCACGCGGATCACCTCGGGACCTCGCCGGTGCCCTGGGGGGCTTGCGATCTGCGCAACTGTCGCCACTTTCGTGGGCTCCTGGGAGGCCCAGCGGAGGTGGGTCCCACGCGGATCACCTCGGGACCTCGCCCCCTGGGGGCTGCGATCTGCGCAACTGTCGCCACTTTCGTGGGCTCCTGGGAGGCTGCGGAGGGGTCCCACGCGGATCACCTCGGACCTCGCGATCTGCGCACTGTCGCCACTTTCGTGGGCTCCTGGGAGGCCCAGCGGAGGTGGGTCCCACGCGGATCACCTCGGGACCTCGCGGTGCCCTGGGCGCTTGCGATCTGCGCAACTGTCGCCACTTTCGTGGGCTCCTGGGAGGCCCAGCGGAGGTCCCACGCGGATCACCTCGGGACCTCGCCGTGCCCTGGGGGCTTACGATCTGCGCAACTGTCGCCACGTTCGTGGGCTCCTGGGAGGCCCAGCGGAGGTGGGTCCCACGCGGATCACCTCGGGACCTCGCCGTGCCCTGGGGGCTTGCGATCTGCGCAACTGTCGCCACTTTCGTCTCCTGGGAGGCCCAGCGGAGGTGGGTCCCACGCGGATCACCTCGGGACCTCGCGCCCTGGGGGCGCAGCTGTCGCCACTTTCGTGGGCTCCTGGGAGGCCCAGCGGAGGTGGGTCCCACGCGGATCACCTCGGGACCTCGCGGTGCCCTGGGGGCTGCGATCTGCGCAACTGTCGCCACTTTCGTGGGCTCCTGGGAGGCCCAGCGGAGGTGGGTCCCACGCGGATCACCTCGGGACCTCGCGGTGCCCTGGGCGCCTGCGATCTGCGCAGCTGTCGCCACTGTCGTAGGCTCCTGGGAGGCCCAGCGGAGGTGGGTCCCACGCGGATCACCTCGGGACCTCGCGGTGCCCTGGGCGCCTGCGATCTGCGCAACTGTCGCCACGTTCGCGGGCTCCTGGGAGGCCCAGTGGAAGTGGGTCCCACGCGGATCACCTCAGGGTCTCGCCGTGCCCTGGTGGCTTGCGATCTGCGCAACTGTCGCCACGTTCGCGGGCTCCTGGGAGGCCCAGCGGAGGCGGGTCCCACGCGGATCACCTCGGGACCTCGCGGTGCCCTGGGGGCTTGCGATCTGCGCAACTGTCGCCACGTTCGTGGGCTCCTGGGAGGCCCAGCGGAGGTGGGTCCCACGCGGATCGCCTCGGGACCTCGCCGCCCCCTGGGGGGCTTGCGATCTGCGCAACTGTCGCCACTTTCGTGGGCTCCTGGGAGGCCCAGCGGAGGTACGTCCCAGGTGGATCATTCGGAGGTACGTCATACTCATTTCTTTCAACGCCTCTGTGCTTCCATTTTGTATAGTTGCCGTTCCTCTTCTTGCTGCTCTCTTCTGGAATCACTGTTAGGTACTCTTCTTGCGCACTGCGGGTCCTTCAGAATGCCAGTCAGCATTGAGTGGTCCTGAATATAATCGCCACATGTGTAGAAAGGGTTGGGTACGTCACAGGGTATTTGTTTCTGCCTTCCGACGGCCCGAGACGGCCCAAGCGCCCCCAGAGATCGCCCAGGAGGCCCAAGACGGCCCCAAGAGGCCCCCAAGACGGCCCAAGAGGCCTCCAAGACGCTCAAGATGGCCTCCAAGACGGCCCAAGAGCCCTCCAAGACGTCCTCCAAGAAGGCCCAAAAGGGTCACAATGGCCTCCAGGCGGCCAAGATTACCTTCAAAATGCCCACGTGTTCCCCGAAGGCTTTCCAAACCGATTCGGGGAACACATGGTCCGATAGCTTGGCAGGTCTGGCCTCAACGTTCGGCCACATAGGCGCTTCCACCAAGGCAGGGGGCGGCAATGATTCGCCGTAATTAGGCGTATTCGATCCGCCGCCCCCTTTTGATTTATCAAAGGGGTGCCTGGCGTGCCGAATGGTATGGTTTCGGTTCTTTTTCCAAAAGAACTCCCCCTGGGGCTTCGGCCCGTCCCACGGGGCACCAGGAAAGGCGCTCAATCCGGAAAAAAAAATCCTCCAAGATGGCCCACGATGGCGCCAAGATGGCCACGTTGGTCCAAGATGGCCTCCAAGATGGTCCAACATGACCCTCAAGATGCCTCCAAGATGGCCACGAAGGCCTCCAAGACGGCTCAGATGGCCCCAAGATGCCTCCAAGACGGCCCCCGATGGCCTCAGGACGGCCCAAGACGGCCCAAAAGGCCCGCAAGATACCTCTAAGACGGGCCAGAGGCTTCCAAGAGGTCATCCAGGAAGGCTCGAAGAGGCCGAAATCATTGATTTCTTTTGGGTTTTTGAAGGATTTTGGGCGCCTTTTCGGCTTTCCGACGGCCCGAGACAGCCCAAGAGGCCCCCAAGTTCACCCCGAGATCGCCCAAGAGGCCTCCAAGATGGCCCCGTGACGGCCCAAGAGACCCCAAGACGGCCCCAAGAGGGCCCCCAGACAGCCCAAGAGGCCTCCAGGACGCCCAAGATGGGTTCCATGACGGCCAAGATGGCCTCCAAGATGCCTCCAAGATGGCCAAGGTGGCCTCCAAGACGGCTCAGATGGCCCCAAGATGCCTCCAAGACGGCCCAAGATGGCCTCAAGACGGCCCAAAAGGCCCGCAAGAGGCCTCCAAGACGGCCCAGAGGCTTCCAATAGGTCCTCCAGGAAAGCTCGAAGAGCCCCAAATCACTGATTTTCCATAGGTATTTGAAGGATTTGGGCATTTGCTTCTTCTCGGCTTTCCGACGGCGCAAGACGGCCCAAGAGGCCCCCAAGTTCGCCCCAAGATCGCCCAAGAGGCCTCCAAGATGGCCCCGTGACGGCCCAAGAGACCCCCAGACCGGCCCCAAGAGGGCCCCCCAGACGGCCCAGGAGGCTTCCAGGACGCCCAAGATGAGTTCCAAGACGGCCAAGATGGCCTCCAAGATGCCTCCAAGACGGCCAAGATGGCCTCCAAGACGGCTAAGATGGCCCCAAGATGCCTCCAAGACGGCACAATATGCACCCAAGACGGCCTTAGATGGGCCCAAAAAGCCCCCAAGAGGCCTCCAAGATGGCCCAAGAGGCCTCCAAGAGGTCCTCCAGGAAGGCCCGAAGATACCCTAATCGCTGATGTTCCTCAGGTTTTTGAAGGATTTGGGCACTTGCGCCTTTTCGGCTTTTCGACGACCAAAGACGGCCCAAGAGGCCCCCAAGGTCGCCCCAAGATCGCCCAAGAAACCCCCAAGATGGCCCCATGACGGCCTCAGAGTCCCCCAAGACGGCCCCAAGAGGGGCCCAAGATGGCCTCATCGGCCTTCCGACGGCCCGAGACGGCCCAAGAGCCCCCAAAGATCGCCCAAAGATCGCCCTAGAGGCCTCCAAGATGGCCACAGAACGGCCCAAGAGGCCCCCAAGACGGCCCAGGAGGCCTTCAAGACGCCCAAGATGGCCTCCAAGATGGCCCTGGAGCATTCCAAGAGGGCCACAAGTTGGCCCAGAGAGGCCCCCCAAACGGCTTCCGACGGCATCAGGCGGGCCAGGAGCCCACCAAGACGGCCGAAGATGGCACTAAGATGGCCCAAGACGGCCCAGGAAGGACCAAAAAGGCCAAAATCATTGATTTTCGATGAGTTGTTGAAGGATTGTGGCATTTGTTTTTTCGATCTTCCGACGGCCCGAGACGGCCCAAGTGCCCCAAAGATCGCCCAGGAGGCCCAAGGCGGCCCCAAGAGGCCCCCAAGACGGCCCAAGAGGCCTCCAAGACGCTCAAGATGGCCTCCAAGACGGCCCAAGAGCCCTCCAAGACGTCCTCCAAGAAGGCCCGAAAGGGTCCAAATGGCCTCCCGACGGCCAAGATGACCTTCAAGATGCCCACGTGTTCCCCGAAGGCTTTCCAAACCGATTCGGGGAACACATGGTCCGATAGCTTGGCAGGTCTGGCCTCAACGTTCGGCCACATAGGCGCTTCCACCAAGGCAGGGGGCGGCGGTGATTCGCCGTAGGCGTCTTCGATCCGCCGCCTCCTGTTGGCTTGCCACAGGGGTGCCCAGCATGCTAGACCCTTTCGGTTATGGTTTTAGTTTTTTTTCCAAAAGAACTCCCCCTTGGGCTTCGGCCCGTCCCGCCGGCCACCCGAAAGGGATCTCAATCCAAAAAAAAATCCTCCAAGACGGCTCAAGATGGTCTCCAAGATGGCCACGTTGGCCCAAGATGGCCTCCAAGATGGTCCAAGATAGACTCCAAGTCCGCCCAAGATGGTCCAACACGGCCTCCAAGACGACCCAAGAGAGTCCAAGATACCTCCAAGTTCGCCCCCAAGAAGCCTCCAAGACGGCCCAACACGACTCAAGAGGCCTCCAAGAGGTCCTCCAGGAGGACCGGAAGAGGCCAAAAGGTAGAGGTATGGATGTATGGAGGAATGAGCAGGAGGGGGAAGAGGAGGAGGAGGAGGAGGAGGTCGACGAGGACGTGGGCAGCTGACTCCTCTTCTGTGGAGTGCGCTGGAGAATGCTTTTGGCTGCGCGTCTGCCAGTGTTCACTTTGTCAAAACGGGCAGCCCGGGACAACTCCGCGGGCGCCCAACTGCTGTGGGTTATGGAATGCGGGGTCTCCACGATGCGCAGTCTAACCATGTTCAGACTATCGCAGAGACACCGCTCCCTCGAATGGTGCCTCGGACTCCTCATCACAAACGCTCCGAAGGGTCACTTTCTCTAAAGGCATCCGCGAGAAATAGTCGACGCCCGTTTTATCGTCCATACTGACGTGCCCCTCCTGCATACCGTCAATTTGATATACATATGTCACAGCGTTCCCCTCAACGACGGGGTTGCAGGGCCCCCACCCGATCTGATGCAAGGTGCTCGTGTAGTTGGTTGCCTTCAGGGGGACGGGCCAGAAGTTCGTTTCGAGGCGGTCGTTGAAGAGCTCGAGGACCTGCGGGAACGTACTCCACGAGCCCACGGCCAGGTGCCTCGCGTTGATGATGGCGCAGGAGTCTTCCTCGAGCGACTCACTCTGCACGGCGAGCTTGGTCCCCAGATGCTCTCGCAACACCGAGATGCACGGGTGCGACATGTCCTTCTGAGTTATGACGCGGGCCGACTGGAATCCGTGGTCGGCGAGGACCTTCTTGAAGAAGCTGCACGACGCGTACATCGCGTACGGGGACACCTGCGTCCTGTTTGCGAAATTCCTCGCGTCCCCGTTGCGCAGGTGTATTGTCAGCTCACGGATATCGTGGGCGTCGTCCTGCCGGGCACGCTCCTCCATGCACGCCTGACGCCAGTTGTCGCTCATGAGGGGCCGCAGGTGCTGCGCCGCTGTCTGGCGGAACAAGCTCTTCGTCACAGCCAAGCAGCGGCCGAAGAACGACTTCATGTTGAGAAAGTTGCAGTCGAGCTTCAAATCAGGGCGTGGCGTGATCTTGATCTCCTTGGGAAGATTCAAGATATCAAACGCCCTGCAGGCCTTGGACTTGTCGTGACACGCTACCTCTTTGGCCTCGGGCAGGACCAGCGTCGATAACCCCTCCATCTGACAGAACAATATCGCGTTCACCAGCTGAATTATGTTGTTGCCCATTCGCCCGTACCACGTCTTCAACGCGATCGACCCTTGTTTAGCGTTGATGACCACATCACCTGACGGCACGTCTTCATCGTCGGCGTCTATCTCCTCCCCACTCGCCTGTGGCGTCCATTCCTCGCGCTTCACACCCTTCTCAGACCGTTCCAAGCTGACGCGGTCCGCCGCCGAGGCGTCCAAGATCTGCACGCCTTGTGAAATTGAGAGGAAAGTCACGGTAATGACAGCGCGGACGGCGGCCATCCTGTCACGACAACATGGAAAAAAAAACAGTACTTCACTTCAGCATACAGCTTGAGCCAAAATGGCTACGGAGGTTTTTGAGGGATCTGGGCATTTGTTTCTTCTCGGCATTCCGACGGCTCAAGACGGCCCAAGAGGCCCCCAAGATCGCCCCAAGATCGCCCACGAGGCCTCCAAGATGGCCCCATGACGGCCCAAGAGGCCCCCTAAGACGGCCCCAAGGGGGCCCCAAGAGGCCTCCAAGACGCCACGATCGCCTCCAAGACGGCTAAGATGGCCCCAAGATGCCTCCAAGACTGCCCAAGATGCATCCAAGACGGCCTAAGATGGCCTCCAAGATGCCTCCAAGACGGCCACGATCGCCTCCAAGACGGCTAAGATGGCCACAAGATGCCTCAAAGACGGCCCAAGATGCACCCAAGACGGCCTTAGATGGGCCCAAAAAGCCCCCAAGAGCCTCCAAGACGGCCCAAGAGGCCTCCAAGAGGTCCTCCAGGAGGGTCCGAAGATACCAAAATCATTAATTGTCCATCGGTATTTGAAGGATTTGGGCATTTGTTTATTATCGGCATTCCGACGGCTCAAAACGGCCCCAGGAGGCCCTCAAGATCGCCCCAAGATCGCCCACGAGGCCTCCAAGATGGCCCCCTGACGGCCCAAGAGGCCCCCTAAGACGGCCCCAAGAGGCCCCCAAGAGGCCTTCAAGACGGCCAAAGTGGCCTCCAAGACGGCTGAGATGGCCCCAAGATGCCTCCAATACGGCCCAAGATGCATCGAAGAAGGCCTCAGACGGCCCGAGAGGCCCCCAAGAGGCGCCCAAGACGGCCCAAGAGGCCTCCAAGAGGTCGTCCAGGAGGGCCCGAAGAGATCAAAACCATCGTTGTCCCTTAAGGTTTTGAAGGATGTTGGCACTTGTTCCTTTTCAACAGCGACGGAGAGACCATACAGGACCTCGAAGTCCACAAGCGATCCCCCCAAGACGGACAAGATGGCCTCCCAGACTGTCTCAAGACGCCTCCAAGACGGCCAGCGTGGCCGAAGATGGCCTCCAAGATGCGTCCAAGATGATCAAGATGGCCCCACGAAGCCCCAATATAGTTCAAAAGTGGTTTCCAAGACAGTCCCAACATGCCTCCAAGACCGCAAAAAACGGCCAAACAAATACCCAGAGTAGCCCAAGAGGCTCCCAAGAGGCCTCCTCCTCCCTTCTCCTTCTTCCTCCCTTTCTTCTCCTTCCTCCTCCCCCACCGTGTTCCCCGAACGCTTTCCAAGCCGATTCAGGGAATCTGTCGATCCGCGGGTCGAGAGCGCACCTCTTCCGGTCGAAGCTAAGCGGGCCGCGCACATTTTGAATTAACGAGAGGGGGCAAGGAGGGGCCTCACATCAAGGCCAGGAAGGGGCAAAGCCCCAGAATCAGGCGGTGCCGAAGACGATGCGCTGGCAAAGGAACGCCTTGGAAGAGAACCGGGCGGCGAAGTACCAGAAGAAGCAAAATGCTGTGGTTGGTGGTGCCGTCAACGGCGCGTCTTACACCAGCCTCAAGTAGCGGCAGGAGAGGACTCGCCTTGTATCCTAGAGGCGACGACCAGGGAAGGTAGGGAGCATCGCTGAGCCGAAATGCAAAGTTGTGCCACCGAACAGGATGCGGGAGCAGGGCCGTGGTTGTGCAAGGTGCCACAGATCCACGGCGCGGGAGCCACCGTCTGAGGCGCGGCAGCCAGGACATGCCAGGCAGATGCCGCATATGACGACCGACAGGGTGCCCGTGTGCTGCAGGGTGGAAGCCTGCCCTGCAGTGGCAAACGCGTGGGATCGGGCCGAAGCCGCGCTCTGCGCTACTGTTGTCCGCGGTGCCCAGGGCCGGGCCAGGGCCGCGCTGCGCCCAGGACCGCGGGGCCGCCGAGGCGGCAAGGTGCGCGCGAGTGCCGGGCACTGGGCCGAAGCCGCGCAGTGCTGGGCGCGGCCGCCATGCGGGAGGGGGGGTAGCGAACGGGGAGGGGGAAAGCGGGCAGGGAGGAGAAGGGCCGACCAGGCGGGCCAGCCAGCGCCAGGGCAGCCCCGCGCCGGCAGCCGGGCGTCACCGCCAGTTGCCGGAGGCAGGCGGATCCTGCAAAATCAGGGGGGACTAACCGTCCAATGTTCAAGTAAAGGGGAAGGAGGGCGGGGGAGGGCAAGTTGCCGAAGGCGCCGAACAGGTCGCACTCGAAGAAGAGCGCCGTGATGCGTTGCCAGGGACAGGAGGGGCGGTTCGGACGTGGTGCCCGAGGTCAAGACAATCGTTAGAAGCATTGAGGTGCGTCAGCGCTTGGGCGCTGCATTCCGTGCCAGTGTCCGAGGACCCGGAGCTGCGTAGCGGGCCGCCCCCCGCGCCCGTTGTCTTTGGCCGTATCCTGGTTCCGCCAGATTCCTGATACGATGTCGCAGTTGCTGCGGGATCAGGGGGGACTAACCGCCCCATCACCAGGTGCGCAAGAGGAGGGGAGGAGGGGGAGACAGGGCCAGACGCCGTAGAAGGCGACAAACAGGTCGCACCCGACGAATAGCGCCCAGAGGCCTGCCAAGGACAGAAGGGGCGGTTGGTTCGGCACCCTGGGCGGCGGCGTCAGGGGGAGCGTTCAGGGCACGTCAGCGCCTGGGGCCCTTTCCGGTCCAGTTGTCGGTGTACCCAGAGCTGCGTGCTGGGCCGCCCCCGCGCCCCTCGCCTTTGGCCACCTCCCGCTTCCGCTGGAACTCCTGCCACAGGGTGTTTTCGCGGCCCCAGTCGACGTAGACGCCCGCGTTCCGGGACCAGGCGCCCACGTCGTAGCGGCTGCGTGCCATTTCATCCAGGAAGCGGTCGATCATGTCGGGCTTACAGCAGGACGGGTCGAACTTGACTTGGCCCCTGGTCTTGCCCTTTTCCTGGCCCACGTGCCTGTACCAGGAGTGCCAGGCTGCGGTGAAGTAGTAGCCCCCCTCGCCCTTCAGCCTTTTCAAGTGGGCGGCCGCCGTCTCGCCCGGGCGTCTCGGCCAGCTGGCGCGGCGGTCTTCCCAGTGGCGGTTGTGGTCAGGGCGGCGGCGCTTATCCTTGTTCTGTTCAGGGTTGCGGCGATCGTCGCATCGCTGCCAGGAGCCCCACCCTCCGCTCCCGTCGCGATCGCGGTCTCGGTCGCGGTCGCGCTCTCTGGCTCGGCCCCTTATCGCCGGTGCCCCTGGACGGGCACCGAGCCGTGCTCTCGCATCGGCCCCAGAGACCCGGCCCACTCCCCCTGCCGCGCGCGCCACCGCACTCGCGCGGAGGATGGGGGTCGGGCGCGGTGCGACCGGCACCTGCGGCCGCAATCTGGAGCGGTGTGCGCGGGGCGCGGGCGTCGGCGCTGGTCACCGCCGGCTCGCCCTGTCCCGTGGACCCGTCGGCCTGGCGGGCCTGGCGCGGCGCGGCGGTGCCGCGTTCAGGGCTGCTGCGCCGCACCTCCCGGAAGCTCGTCCCGATGTGGACCTGCCGATGTGCTCCAGGGTCTGGGGAAGGTGAGACCGCTTGGACTACGCCAGCGGCCTCCGCCAGCCTCTGAGCCGGATCCTCCTCCTGGTCTTTGGAGGTGTAGTCGGGGATATCCTCCTTGGTGTGGTCGCACGGCGGCGGCTCGTGCGCGGGGTCCCGTGCGACATCCCGTGGAGCGCGGGACTGGGGCCTGGACTTGGGCTGAGCCCCCTCCGCGGACGCCGCTGCGACGGTTCCAGGGTCGGCGCCGAGCCAGCAGCTGGCAGGGGCCGATGGCGCCTGCGGTGCTTGCGCCTTGTCGGGGGCCCCCTCCAGGAAGGCGGCCGCGCGGCTCGCCGCACTGCCGCGTAGGATGTCGGCGCGTAGCGTCTTAGTCCCAGCACCCCAGATTTCAAGCCACTCGTTGCCTGTTTGGACGACCAGGAATCGTTGCCCGCCCTCCGTGCGGATCTGCACGTCGCGGATCGGTCCGAATACTGCTCCGTCCAGGGGCTACGCGAACAGGGAGGGGCTCGGTGCTCTGCGCCGCTGCAAACCACCTGGCTCGGGGGAGGGTGTCGTTCCGGATGACCGCGTAGTCGCCGCCCACGATATCTGGGCTGTCAATCATGATCGGGCGGGAGGGGGCCTCGAGGGGTTTGTCCGGGACTCGTCCTTGCCGCCGGTCGCGGTCGCGATGCGCGCGCTCCAGGCGGGAATCAGGGACTGCGATGACAACTGGTGGGGCCCCCGCGGACTTGGCAGCAGCGGGGCGCGCCCTGGGTGGGATCGAGGCCGGCTCGCTGTCACTCGGCGCGGGCGGTGGCGTTTCCGCCGCTGTCTGCGGGGCGGCTGCGGTGTCCCCGTGCCGCTCAGGGGCGCGCGTGGCGCAGAGAGGCTGCGCGCGCTGGGTCATAGGCTGGTAGAAGAGCAGCCCCTTGTCCACGGCTCTGACGTCGGCGGTCGCTACGAATGCCTCCAGGACCGGTCGCGAGTAGGCCAAGGGCGCGGGGCCGAAACTCACGCGGCTGGCGCGGATGCGCTGCTCCCATTGCGCGCCAAGGTCGCCGCCGCCATTGCCTGCGCCCGCCGTCAGGAAGCTCACCAGGTGCACGAAGGCGGCGCGGTCGTGGTCCCATTGCCCCTGCGGGGAGAAGGTATCAGAGACGACCTCTCCATAGACCCAGCTCAGGAACTCGTCGTAGGCCTCTGCGCCCCATCCGCTTGGGTCCGAGCTCCGCGCCCGGGCGCGCCCCGTCTCGGAGGCCCCCTGCGAGGCCCAATTGGTCCACTGTCGGTGGTGCTGACAAGCCAGAGTGACATGTTGCTGTATCACTTCACGCTGCAGGCAGCCCAGGGCGGCCGCGTCGCTCCCAGACTCGAGCCCCGCGATGGAGCGGGCCGTCAGCTCGGGGCCGCTGGGCGGGCCCACGGCGGGGCGCCCCAGGCTCTGGACGCGGGCCCTGGCGCCCTCAGGGTCGGCCGCGGCCTGCCCCACGACGGGCTCGCGGAGCCGGCTGGGGACAGGGTGCAGATCAAGGGCCGCCGCGTCCCGTGCCAAGCACGGGCAGGCCTCCACCGCATGCTGGCCCAGCTGCACGACGTAGGCGAGTAGCTGCTGTCGGTGCGCCAGGGGCGGGTAGCGCT